GATCAAATTGTTTGTAAAGTATTGAGTCTTCATTGTTGAAAGATCTTCTAATGAAGAAAACTGTTCGATCATTATCATTTTATCATTTAAATAGATTGAATTGGAAGAATATTATTTAAAGTATTCCTACTCTATGACTTCACTATATGATGCTTGTAAGATGTTGTGATAATATGTATACACTGATGAGAATTTTCAACATAGTCGTTATATGAATATCAGTTTGTTGAGAGAACCTCACTTGAGTTGAAGGTGTAAAATATCGCTTAGATGTACGTTGGTCAAACTTACCATACCACATTAGTACGAAGACGTTGAGTTCATAAGACGAATAGCAAAAAGATAGAAATAATACAGTAACAATCATGAAAAGATAAACTAAACATAAAGGATATGGTTCGAAAAGATGGAATGGGAAGGGTTGTATAAATAAGTGCTAATGCTCGAACTCTGGGATAGTATAAAAAGTGAATGTATCTGAGCCTTCAAAGCGTTTTCCAAGTCATGTCATATAAATCTTTAACCATTGTTTACGATGATCATGTGACACCAAACCAGGTAATCTGTATTTATCGCTATGATTCAAACAAACATTCAACAACATCTTGAACTGAAGCCACCTCTAGGTTTCATTCACCATGCTCTTACACTAACGATCATGTTCCATCGAGGCTGCTGGTGGACAGGCTTACGCAACACATATTCCAGCAACCTTAGTCCATGATGATTTATAACCTCTTCTATCTAAAGTTTGTGCTGATGATGTTGTTCAGAAGAACAATGAAAGCTTCACGACCAAACCATCCATCTCAGAGAACAAAACTCCATTAAAATCATCCACATGAGCTAAAAATGTTTTCCACCATCTCATTTGCAACCACGTCAACCAAAATTGATAACTCACCTAGTACGCACTCTCTTTAATCTTAATGTTGTCTACTCATTCGTTTCATGATGGATAAATAATATTCTGAAAACAATCCTACTCAAAAATATCTAACATGCACAAGTCTTATACTTCCACAGTCTACGATCCACGAATTTAAATATACATAGAGGGAATTGCAGTGTAGTGAATTTGTCGTTCGGTTGGGTGAGAGAGATATTGCCCACGTCACAATTGACCAAGTTGGTAAACTCCAAATGATTCCACTAAATACGTGTCGAAACTTTGTCTGAAATGAGTATGAAATTTTTATATTTAAACTATCTAGCTCAAAATAAGATGATGATTGGAGGTAGTCGACAGGAAGCCCTAGACCCGGGTTTTGTGCTACTTGGCACTCGTCAGCAAGGTGTACCTATAATCTTGGAAGAACTGGTGCTCTCTGACGGATTTCATCCCGTGTCACAAAACTTCACAGTCAAAGACATTGCCACTGGGCTATCAGGCCTCTGACCGACCTCCTTTAGGACTAAGATGTAATCACATTTGACTGATCACTACCCAGTACAAGATGATTCGAATGTATATTTCTAGACAAAATCCTAACTGTTTCAACATTGTAATCATTAATATGCCTACTGGTTACCTCTCATTGTTAGCCAACACTTACTTAAATAGAAAAGAAGAAATAACCACCATTATTATCAGATCATTATTAATGGCTTATAAGTTTTACGTCAATACAAACTTAGAACAAGATCATTACGTAATAACCCTGAAACACATCACAATGTAATGAGAATATCCGTTAACTTTGGATGGGAAAATGAAGTGTTTTCATCGTTTAAATTTTTTTTTAGATATTCTGATATAAAATCACTAGTTTTAAGTTAAAAGTAAATGATACATTCTCTAACTAAAAATACACATAACACCAATTGTTGTTGACATAAAGAAAAATGTTTCAGATGAATTTGATTCTAATTCAGGTAAAGTGGATCCTAGAACATCCTAGAACATTTGACTCACTTGTAATCGAAGTTCCTATTTAATGTTTGTGTTTAGTTAATCATGAAGTACGTTCACTATAGTTGTTTATTGATATCATGATTCTCATCATGATCAGCATCAGAACCTAATCTATAGTTGTAATTGTTGGAAGTATGACTACTAATAGATGTATGATACGGTCATTCGCTTCACTACCGATAACTTCATCGTTAACCCCATTGTCCTTAGTAACATCCTTGTTATGCTTACCGTTGTTCGACATCAAAAGAACATTATCCAGTTCAACCTTGAAATTGCGAATAAAATAAGAACCACTTTGGAAGTATTTAACTTTTCTATCTATACACATTGTAATATCTGCAAATGCTTCGTGTGCTCTCATCCATTCTCTATTTTTATACTTGGTTACTTCAATAGCTAAATACAAAAATATCATTTTCTAAAACATGATATGTTCCATTGCATGTCGGTCTGGAGAGATATGAAAAGTGAAACATGGAATGTTTAATCATACATTTCAACAGATACCCTCAGCATTTCATTGATAACGTTTGTTTTCAGCATAAATTGACATGATGTAATACAATGTTTCCTTTCGGTTAAATTTTAAACTTACGACAATGAGAACATTATCATTTGTACTAGTCACAATACTCATCAGAAAAGCAAAGCTACAGTCCTTAAGGAAACTGATAATTCCTGTAGAATTCATGAATCATTCAGCTTTAATATCATAGACATGATCACCAAGTTATTCACGTCACTTGATTTCAAAATTTAGTGCACTTGAGGTCGGATCCCTCAGACAAGTGATCACAATGAAAATTAATTACTAGAATTCGATCATCACTAAAACACTAAACAAATTTTATATTTTATCAGAAGGGGGGGGTTGTGGAGATTTTAGTAATTTCATAGTTGAATTCATGAGTTAATTGAAGCTAGAAAACCATGGGAAAACTGGAAGCATTAGACAGCCGATTCAACCTAGTATAGGACTCCTTAGTAGTGCGCATCCACAATCCCGCCCGCAAGATTCGAACCCAGGACCTCTGAAAATTAAACCTCTAGACTATCAATTCAGTATTCAACGATACTTATATCTAACTTCAACCAATACACGAAATTACGCCACCATCCACCATTGTCTCACAACAGACCTGGTTGAACTCCATTGGTCATGATTTCTCACTAGAAATCTAAGAAGTACCTCTTGAAGTTTATCACTGGTGAAGACATGATAATTATTATCAGAAGAGGGTATTCTGGAGATTTTAGAACGAAATAAATGTCTATTGCTTCCAGATTTTTCATGGTGGTCTTACTTGAATTGACTGATGAATTCAATTATTAAATAAGATGGGTTTTGTAGATATTATAGTAATTTCAATGGTTAAGATCATGAGTCAATTGAAGCTAGATCACCAGGGAAAACCTGGAAGAAATGGACGGCGGTTTCATCCCATTGCGGCACTCCTCAGCAGTGCGCATCCACAACCTCGCCCCCTGAGAGATTCGAACCATTTATTTATTCATAATTAACCAATGTATATTATATATATTCAGTAAACAGCTAATAGGAAACTATAACAGATTGAATCACCTTATAATTAACCTACATGATCACTTATACTCAACATTATTCAAGTTTACATTGATGAAACTAATTAGAAGACATGATTTTACAAAAGATAAAACTTATCATGACTTCAATGTCCTATGTGAAACATGACATATTAATGAATATTGTTACTGTATCTACGTCTGTCATATTCTAGTTCTCGTTTTTCTCACCCCCTCCCCGAAATAAAAACCAAAAAAGTTTTTTTTTAAATACCCGATACACTACATACTTGTTTATGAATTATACTGAATATCCTTACGACGACGATGACACCACCACCACCAACAACAAATAACGAAAAGTAAATGTCAGTGCTTAAAATAGTCTATTTCCCTCCAAATTAGATGAAGATGTTATAGATTAATTTTTTCTTTAAAAAAAGGATTTTTTTTCCGGAAAACTTTAGTTGTCATGGTGACATTCTAAAAATGGTTACGCAATTAATAATGAAGGTATTAGGCTAAGCAACTATTAGTAAGTAAGTAAGTAAGTAACTATGTCAAAGAAAGTTTTGTTTGTTAAGTATTTCAAAGTGATAAGTTAACAAATCGAATACAAAGACAAATCATAAAAATGTTGAGATTTTCACCGATACATATTCTACTTCTTCTTTCATGTCTCATATCAACTTGGCGCCCTAAATATTATGAAACTATTCGATAAAAATTGAAATGTTTGTTAATTTAGTTAATCTGATTGTGGTTTGTATTTGATGATGTGAATTCATGAGTTAATGAAAGCTAGACCACCATGGAAAACGTGAAAGCACTAGATAGCTATTTCATTTTAATATGAAACTCTTCAGCAGTAAGCAAACACAATCCAGCATTCCAGTGGGATTCGAACGCAGGATCTATCGGTCTTGCGCGAATACTTAACTAATGTTGTTAATGTGTAACTTCAACCAATCCATGATCGTGGATACACACTGCTCAGGAGTCCCATATTGGGATGAAATGGCTGTCAAGTGCTTCTAGGTTTTCCATGGTGTTCTAGCATTAATTGACATGAATTCAACTATTAAATTACTGCAATCTCGACAAAACCTCCTTGTGATAATGATTAAGCTAACTGTTTGATACTTTGTCTACTCATTCATAAATAAGGTGAGACTTCAGTTTAGGGATGAGGCAATCGTATTTTAGACTCTAGGCCTTGGAGTTAACTGACATTTTGACATTATAACTGATGTCATTTCGTAATGAAAACTCCAACTATGATTCCTAAACCTTAATGTCCAACTGTAAACCTCAATAACTGACATCAATTTATAATCCTCATTTACACCTAGTAAGTCAACGAAAATTCTCAAGGCATTACTTAAACATAGTGTACCGAATCGATTGTACACTTCAAGACGTCCAGCTTGTACATGGTTAAGTTTGTTTCTAAGCTAATAATCATTGAATGATCTCTCTTGTGAAATAAGTTACCAACTATTGTTTTATTCAAATTCTTCTCTCTATTGAAAAAAAATAGCTGTTTGTGCCGGTAATTGTGGTGAACGTGGTGAATGTATCAAACCAAACACTTGTATTTGTTCTGATCGACGTCTTCGTTTCAGTTGTAAAGAAGAGGATATTGATGAAGAATCAGATACAATGCAACTTGATCAAGCTGAAAGTGAGTCGATTTTACATGCTTATACTTATAAATATACTGAACGATAACGTCAATAGTTTGTTTGATAACTAATATTCTACAGAATTACTTACTTACTTAAGCCTGTTACTCCTCGTGAAGGAACATAGATTGCACACCAGCATTCTCCATCCAACCGTGTTCTGGGCAATCTTTTCAAGCTCTTTCCACTTCTTATTCATCCTTTTCAGATCTGCTTCTATTTCCTGACGTAATGTGCTCTCAGGCCTTCTTCTTTTCCGTTTTCCTTCAGGATTCCAAGTTAGGGACTGCCTCGTGATGCAGTTTGACGATTTGCGTAATGTATATCCTAACCCTTTCCATCGTCTTTTCCTAATTTCCTCTTCAGCTGGAAGTTGGTTTGTTCTCTCCCACAGAAGGCTGTTGCTGATGGTATCTGGCCAATGGATGTTGAGTATCTTGTGTAGACAGTTATTTATAAATACTTTTACCTTCTTGATGATGGTTGTTATAGTTCTTCAAGTTTCAGCTCCTTACAGTAGAACTGCCTTGACGTTCATATTGAATATTGTGACTTGGATATTGGTTGAAAGTTGTTTTGAGTTCCATATGTTCTTCAATTGTAGGAATGCTATCCTTAGTTTGCCAATCCTCGCCTTTACGTCTGTATCTGATTCTGCTTTTTCATACTCTTCACATTACATGTCATATTCATTAGACAGATCTTAACTTAAACAAAGTATAAGCGTTAAGTTTAGTTAGTCTACCAGGCAGTTATAGATTAAACAAACATGATATTGATCACTACTACTCAACGATCAATGAATGTGAAAGTTTCAGTTAAACTGGAAGTCAGTTACTATCTGATTACTTGAGCAGTAACGTTTTAAATCATTAAAAGAGATGATGCAGTTCACTCGAGATCCTAGGTAGGCATTGGTAATGAGTGTAAATAATCACGAAATCAAGATTTAAGTTTGTTTGTTAGATCACTTCAAATCATTTTATGTCAAAATCACACAACAGACTGAAACGATAACTTGCTGTTCTATTATCAGTTATTATTTCATCGAGTCACGGTCTTACAATTCATAAAGATTAGATTTTTATTATTTGTATAACGTAATGACACCGCCGATTAGAGAGTATTGACTTATCGACCGGACCAATGACATGTAAAACAAGTATGAGCAGTCTAAAGTCCTTATCAGTCCTGCTTCCTGCCTAGCCCTGCCTAAGAAGTGCAGAACACCATTTTCAGCCTCTGAGCTATGAATCATGTATTTTAAACATATTTGGTTTATATACAAACCAAATAAAATTTACGCAAGTTCTAGCAAATGTAGCTCTGAATATGGGAGACCGTAATTCATAAACTGAGCATAACTTAAGAATGGTAAAGCTAGAACAAACAGTGATGCAGAATAATATGAATTCACCATATTTCGTGGTTTCTGATAAGCTGCTTACAATCAAATTCGTATTAGGATTTTACATTGAGGTAGGAAACAGTATGCAGTAATTGACGTAAGTGGAAAAGACTTGTAGCTTAGATGGATGATTTTGATGGAGTTTTGTTCTCTGAGGTAGATGATTTGGTCAACTATTTGGTCGCCTATACTCTAACGGGTAAAGGTTCAGTGATTAGAGGCGCTCTTCATAAGGCTTGAACCTGAGTCCCCGAATTGATTTCGTGGCTAGCCATTGGATACGTTCCAGAATGTCCTTTTCCTTTTGAAGTGTGGGAGGAAGTATTATGTCTCTGTTTTTTAAATGGGCACGCATAAAACTGCTGAAGGTTATATGGAAAGTTGTTTCGTGAAACTGGCCAGAAATGAGCTCCAATATTACCAGTGAATGGTTTGCTCGAAAGGCATTTTTGTCAAAGTCAACGTAAGACTTCAAATCTTAGGGCACCAGAACTCCTAAATCTTTTTCAACTTGAGATACTTCTAGAGGGGAGTTATCTAAGTTGTAGCTGCAGTCTACAACATGTCTCCGATGGACTACTTTACACTTTGAAGTGTTAAAGGTAAGTCCATTATCATCTGCCCAGCTTTGAAGTCGAGTCAGATCCTCCTGAAGCGTCAGTATATTCTCTTTGTTGCGTATCTCTCTCTCCGAAATTTCACATCATCAACAAAAACTATCAAGTCAGACGATATCCGTTGTGGCAGATCATCTATATAAATCAAGAAAACAAGAGGTCCTGCTACTGAACCTTGAAGGAACCCACTAGGTGAACTTGTTCATTTTCATATCTATACTACAAATTAGTTTCTATCCGTCAACAACGAGTTTCAACTACTTAGTTACCATGTGCTTTTGTTATTTCGATTATTAGCAACTATTTTTGACAAAAATTCTACTTACTTTTTTAGTGAATTATCATCAAAAATATCAATTTCTCTTTTTTCTTTTTTGAAAAAAAGGTTTTTCTTTTTCAGATTTTTCTCTTTTTTGTTGTTTTGTTTAACCTTTAAATAATTTCACACTAAAAGCTCATCAGCTGACTTTGACAAGAATTTTTGTTGTTGTCGTTCTTTCATTGTAAAATTCATTTGGTTTTAATATTCATTTGGTATTGTCTTAGGTGGTGGTTGGAGGTAGTCGACAGGATACCCTGGACCCAGCTTTCGTGCTACTTGGCACTCGTCAGCAAGGTGTACCTGTAATCTTGATGGAACTGGTGCTCCCATTACCACTGAGCTATCCGGGCTACGACCAACCTTCTGTAGGACTGAGACGTAATCACAAATGATTGATCACTGGGTGGTGATCAATGTCATGTGTGTCAAGTCTTTGCTGACGAGTGCCAAGTAGCACGAAACCCGGGTCCAAGGTTTTCTGTCGACTACCTCCAACCACCATCTAATCTCACAATAGTGCACGCAGTATCGAGTCACCTAGACTGGTGGCCACATTGCAACTTGGACGATAGCATTTGATCCGCACTAATAATAAGAACTTGACACACATGACATTGGTCACCACCCAGTGATCAATCAATTTTGATTTGGTATTGTTTTACTTGTCTCTTCTTTTCATGGATGTTTAGGATTACAATTGAACAGTTTCATATTGGCATATATGCATCTTGTGTGGATTGACTTGTAACAGCTTTAATTTATAAGCTCTTTTTAAATAAAGATGGATAGTGGTTAGAAGTGGAATCTAGTTTGACGCACGTTTTGTCCTATTTAGGACTCATCAGTTGAATATATTTGCATCTCAGAGTTGATATTCACTCTTGCACTTGAACTCAATACAAATAATTTCCAAAACCATCGTATTGTCCACTTAACTATTAAATCCCGATAGTCATTTGTTTGTGCATTGGGATGAAGTTTTAAATTCACTTGGTATTCTTGATTTGAATCTTCCTATTGATATTTAGAACTTCAATTGATCAGTCTCTTATTGGCATATGTACATCCGGTTTGGATTGACTAGATATTATTTTAAGTGACAATCGTCCTAAGCAAAGATAGTTTAGTGGCTAGTAGTGGAATCTAGGACGCGCGTTTCGTCCTATTTAAGACTCGTCAGCTGGATGTACCTGCATCTCAGAGTTGATGTTCACTTTGGGACTCAAAACCAATACCACTCGCTTCAGACGCTATCGCGTTATCACAACTTATAATGCTTGTGAATTAAGGCCATATCGAGGCAATATGCACACTATGCACATATGCCAACAAGATACTGATCAATTTCAGTCCTAAACAACAATAGGAAGATTCAAGTAAACAATATCAAGTGAAATTAAACTTCATCTCGTTGTACAAGGAAGTGATTATCAGGACTCAGTAGCTAATTGAATAACACGATAACTATTGAAGCGAATGGTACTGGGTTCGAGTTCCAGAGTTAACATTAACTCTGAGATGCAGTTGCATCCAACTGACAAGTCCTAAATAGGACGAAACGTTTGTATTGGATTGCACTGCTAACCACTATCCATCTTTGATTATAATCTTTATTATTATGGTTGGTTTATTTTCACTGTAATATATTCCTAAATATTTCTGCTTAGCGTTTTTAGCGAGTTAGTTTTCTGCAGGATGAGGTGGCTAACCCCATGCCCAACCTTCCTCCCTTATCCGAGCTTGGGACCGGCAGTAGGCCCAGAGGGGGTCCAGGAGGAGATAAATATTTCTACCTAATTGGATTAAATAAGTACATACATTCAATGATAAACATTTATTTAAAGAATTCAATATTCATTATGATTAAAGAATCCAATGAAACTAATTTTGAACAATTTTCTAATATTGACGAATATTCATATAGAAGATCAATTTATCTCACCGAAGAATATCTTTTTAGAATCTGGTTTATTCTCTATAAAGAGCTTGAATCTTATTATTTAAACGACATATCCACTATTTTTTCAGTGAGTTACTACCTCACAACAGACCAGGTTGAACTCCACTAGTCACTGCTTCTCACGAGAACTGCAAGAAAAACCTCTTGAAGCCAGTACACAGATTTTGTAGAGATTTTTAAATTTCTCTAGTTTACTGGAGTTCTAATATGATGACACTTCTAGTAGACTTTAGTAATGGTGGATATGGGATAATTACCTACCACAACTGGAATCAGAATATTCCTTAAATTGATTGAAGTTAGACTATTGGATCTAGGCTCTACAGCTTGAGAAGTTATAAGTTCTCTGAAAGATCCAAAGATTTTGTATTCGATATTGATGAGATAATAGATGCTGACTACAGAGGATTTATAATATAACTCCAGTTGCACAACTAAATTTTCACAACTCCCTATGCCTAAAATGAATGTTTGTTTCGATAATTCGAGGGAATTAATTCGAATATCAGTTTACCAACAATCTGGCTACATATAGAAACGGCAGTCCAGTACTTCCAGGTTTTCTATGATGGTCTAGATTCAATTAACTCATGATCTCAACCATTGAAATAATTATTGAATAGTTCAAATGTAGCTAGTAAGGGAAATCAGAACGGATGGCTTGTCCTATTTAAGTTTCGTTAGGTACTTGCCATATTCGATATATGGAAACAATCAATCCAGAATAGATATTTACCAACGAAAGATAATCAAATTGCAGATCTTTCACTGGTTGAAATCATGAGTCAATTGAAGCTAGACCCCCATGGAAAACCTGGAAGCACTGACTGACTTCAAGAGATACTTCTGGAGTTCTAATGAGAAGTCGTTATCAGTGAAGTTCAACCAGGTTTGTTGTGAGATATCAGCTCACTGAAGACAATGGTGCAACTTCGTGGATTGGTTGAAGTTAGACATTAACACCCATTGGATACCGGCTCAGTAGTCTAGTTGGTTAAGCGCTTGGCGCGAGACTGATAGACCTAAGTTTGAATCTCGTGAGGAGCGGGATTGTGGATGCGCACTTCTGAGGAGTCCCATACTAGGACGAAATGGCCATCCAGTGCTCTCAGGTTTTCCATGGTGATCTAGCTTCAATCGACTTATGATTTCAACCAGTGAAATTTCTGAAATCTCCACAAAACTCCTTCTGACAAATTACAGATCATTCAAATCATTGTAAATTAAATATAACTAATTATGTATCATTATTTTTTTCATTTATCATTGAAAGATCAATGTCCGGATAATTGTAATGAACATGGAACATGTGAAAATGGAGCATGTATTTGTCGAACAGGATATAGTGGATTAAAATGTGAAAGTATGTGATCTTTTTCAATGGGCTCTTTATATTCATGAAGATTATTTAACTAATGTTTATCTCCTTTTCAATTATCTTCCATGATGGTGAAATAGATTATCAGGTTATAATCAACATGACACATGTTGAATAGTATACTCAAAGCATAATTGGTTATTTGTGACTAAAAAGAAGACACTCAAAGCGTAAGATTAAACAAATATGTAAACGGGTTTTATGGATGTTATAGTAATTTTAAAAGTTGAGATGATGAGTTAATTGAAGCTAGATTAAGCGCTTGCGTGAACACTGCTAAGGAGTCCCACAGTAGGAAGAAAGGGTCATCTAGTCCTCTCAGGTTTTCCATGGTGATTTGGCTTTGAGGTAATTCACCCAGCTGCTTGGGTCGAAATAGGGAATTATGATAAGGAGTTTCAATTATAACTTCGGTTTACAAATTAGAGTTAGGATTTTTAACATAAACTAGTATCAGTTATAATGCCAAAATATTATTAATCCATCCTAGTCAGTCAGCAGCAACCTAGAACTCCGTACGTACATACATCAGTTAGAGTTGCCAAAACATATTGACACAGAGATACAATTGTTGATTCATATCCCTTAGTGGTAGATATGGTAGAAGTATAAGCAGTAATCAAAAAGGTTAGGGTTTGAAGATGTTATTCAAGGAGTATAATCCAATGAAATAAATTTGTAAAGAGAAAAGAAACGGACATGAAGAATTTAGAAGATTAGAATTTGGGGTAACACAAAGCATGGATTCATTTGCACCATTGCAAACGATTTTGAGCCATCTCACTCAAGGTCTCTAACCATCGGTTGCTATAGTTTCACGAATCCCAACGAGGTAGTCTACACCTACCTAACAACATAACTCAGTCCATGTCTCAGTGACTTTATAGATTTGTGCCAGGTTTTGATCTCGCCGCCTCTAGCTCATTTATCCATATGGACGAATAAATTTCACACAAATTCCAGGATTCGTTATTTTAAATTTGATTGGTTCGTACACAAATCATAATCTTTCTAGAAGAAATCTATGTATTTTTCGCATTATTGTCCTCGAGAGGAAGGAATGAACAGATACTTATCATGCAAATAAATACATGACTCGATACTTACTTACTTACTTGCGCCTTTCACTCCCAATGGAGTATGGGCTGCCGAACAGCATTCACAAACCCACTCTGTCCTGGGCCTTCCTTTCTAGATCTATTCAGTAGTTGTTCATTCTTCTCATATCTGTCTCAATTTTCGACGTAATATATTCTTTGGTCTTTCTCTTCTCCCTTAGCCTTGAGGATTCCAAGTGAGGACAATAAAAAATAATAAACTATATAAAGTAGATATTAGTTGCCTCTTAGGGATCTATCAAAATAATCTGAATACATATGTGTTATCATATAGTTTCAATAATGAAAGTACTATTGTGGTGCGTGCTACTTTTATTGACATAAGTAGTATATAACGCGAGTCAGGAATGTAATGTCTGACAGCAGAAGATTGGGAAGTTCAAGAAACGAAGAACAGGAATAGAAAGCAATTAGTAAAGAAATGCAAGAACAATGAAGTTCGAGACAATTATTGAACAGTTTGCAAATTAGGTATTATTGTATGGTTTTTCTATTCTATCAAGCAACTGGTTCTTACCAAAATACAGAGTTGTTTAGAGTCTAAAGCGAACCAACTTTCTTGAAACTTTCAGTACCACATTCATTCTTAAGTATTCAACTGTAATTCTAGCATCAATTTGATTGTATAAATGATTAGTTGACAAAGTGTTATCAGTGTATACCAATGAAAAAAATATAAGATTGAAGGATAAATACCTCTATTTCCTAGTAAATATCCTTTGGTGCCTTTTGTGACTGTAAGCCTGACTAATTGTTACGCAATATATTCTCCAATCGAAATGCGACCTATGCAATCTTATTACTATGCAAAACTAATGGCGTTCGACTGGTATAATCATTCTAGCGTCCTTGCTGGTCTTTTGTCCTCCTAGCACTCTGTCAATTGAGTCCACAACACCAATATCAGCTTCCACTATGCGAATCATTTACTTCATACATACTTGGTTTATATACCAAACAAACCGATCAAATCAAATCATAAAACAGAATATAACATTTGTACAAGATCTAACCCAAAAGTGACTGTGATTGTGGCAGACTGTAATCAATAAACTGAACATAATTTATGAACAGTGAATTGTATAATAATAATAATTTATAGGTCAAATGGAAGCTTACAATATGGGGAATATAGATATGTACAATGTAGCTACTGAATCGTTATACAATAAGAATACACGTGTAATTTTAGTCCATTAATAGTTCTCAGAAGTTACTTGTAATTTAATATTTCACAGCGAACAAAATTCTATTGGAATAGTCAGTTAGGAACTAGTGATCTAAGATTTTATCTTCAGATGATTTGAAATGAATTGTGATATAGACTTGATATTTCATCACTTGTAAGAAAAATAGAGATATACTACTGAAATGTTTAGTTTTTATAGATTAGACTTTATTCTCTACCAACAGTTGAGATCACGAGTCAATTGAGGCTAGACCATCATGGAAAACCTGGAAGCATTGGACGGCTTTTTCGTCTTATTGTTGGACTCCTCAACAGTGCGCATCCACGATCATAATCTCACGAGATCCGAACTCAGGACCTATCAGTCTCGCGTGTGGACGCTTAACCTCTAGACCACTGAGCCGTCTGGCATCCAACGGTGTTAATGTCTAACTTTAACTAATCCACGAAATTGAGCGACACATCCACCATTGTCGTCAATGCGTTACTACCTTCCTGTTACTATCTCAACTGCTGGAATTACTACAATCTCCACAAAACCCCTTCTGATATTTATTCTCTACATTTTTGTTTTGTTCATTTTTACAGTTAAACTAACAGGTGCTTGTTACATATCACTGAAACGTGGATTATGTGTTAATCCAATGCAATATAGAATATCTCAATATGACTATGAAGCTATTCCATTAACTCATGAAGTATGTTGTAATGCATTAGGAATTGCATGGGGTGAACCATGTCAAATTTGTCAAAGTACACATTGTGGAAAAGGATATGAACAAATTGATGGAGTATGTAAAGGTGAGAAGTTTGATATTTAATGATGAATAGGGTAATAGTCCTTTTTTGAATATTTATAGATTACCATCACCGGATTCGTTTTTTTGGTCAGCGTTTTTTTAGCGAGTTAGTTTTCTACGGGATGGGGTCGCTAACCCCATGCCCAACTATCCTCCTTTATCCGGGCTTGGGACCGGTAGTAGCACCTAGAGGGGCTTCAAGCGGAGTTATCATCACCGGATTACTAAAGTAAATCTAGTCTGGTTGGTTAACTTATGACATTTTTATCTGGACAGATAGATATCAAGCTTATGAATGGTGTAGTTTTTGATTTAATGAATACTATCAACATAACAGATTGTTATCAGAAAGTGGACTTTTTGTGGAGATGGTAGTATTTTAATAGTTGAATTCATGAGGCGATCTAAGCTAGATCACCATGGAAAACCTGGAAGAACTGAACAGCTGTTTTGTCCTTGTATGGAACTCCTCAACAGTGAGCATCTGCAATCGTGGATTGATTGAAGTTAGAAATTTACACCGTCGGATGCCGGCTCAGTCGTCTAGAGGTTGAGCATTCGCATGCGAGTCCGAAGATACTGGGTTCGAACCCCGCTGGCGCACGGGATCGTGACTGCTTACTGCTGAGGAGTCCCATACTAGGTTGAAACGACCATTCAATGCTTTCATGTTTGTACGATTCAATAAATCTTTCCAAAAAATCTGGTGAATAAAATAAAAATATTCTATTGTTATGGTAATATTTTGCTGTCAAGCACTTCTGATCCATTCATAGCACGTTTTATAAAAAGAGAAAAATTGTTTGCGTTAACCAACTCACTGATGAGATCTAAGTAGTGATTATACTGCGGCTGTTATTCACTAATTTTCTTTGTATTATTTACATCGTCAAGTGATCTTAGTTTGACGACCATTGAAAACCATGAAACACTTAGGAGAGTATTTGTCCAAGCGTGAGATTTTTCAACACTGTACATACAAGACTACACCACCACAGATCAAACCCGAAACCTTCAATCTCGTGAAAAGAGGTTAATCTTTAATCTACTCAGCCAACATTCAATAATTTACATATCGAACTTCATCTCATTCATAGTGTAAAACATTCATCTTCCAATCTCATCAGCGGCTAACTGAATCCCATTCCTTTGTCATTTTCGTCTTGATTAGTACACTCAAACAATTTTAGTTACGTATGAAAATTTGGCGACAAATGTAATTGATCATATGCTAGACAAATATAGCATCAATGCAACTTCTTGTGTATGTGGATCATTTTCTTCTTCATGACCAGAGTATAACAGCAACTCCCCTGAATCTAGTCTTCGTTATCCAACCTGTGTCCATTGTGTTTCACTGATTTCAAGCACCTCCAGGTTTTGTCTTTTCACTTCTGCAGCAATTTGGATGACCCTCCCAGTTTCCCACACTGTATGAACATTCCATGTACCTAAATTAATAGGTGCTCTAGTTGTCAGAAGGGACATTGGACTCATGACTTCCGAAGGAACTCAGCTTTCAGCATGAGACGTCATAACTCTTCTAATTGAAAACCTTCTAACTCCCAGTGTAGAGTTTAAATGGTTTGAATTATTTTTTCTGATTAGTGTTTCTTAGCGCGTTAGTTCTGTACAGGATGGTGTCGCTAACCCGATGCCCAACCCTCCTTCTTTATCTGAGCTTGGGATCGGCAGTAGCCCCAGAGGGGCTCCAGGCGGAGTTACTAGACAAATATACATAGGATGAATTCAACTGGATTCCTGAAATTCAGCATGCATATTGACGTTCTTATTATGCTTAATGATAATTGTTTGACGTTTTCATTTATCATAAGATATTAATGAATGTGAAGTGGATGGAGTTTGTCAACGAGGTCAGTGTATCAATGAAGAAGGATCATACAAGTAAGTATTCGTTGAAAACTAATTCTAACATAATTATAATCATGACTTGATTTCAGTTTATAATTAGTTAATAACTAGAAGTCGATACAATTGCTTCGTCCTTATATTGATACTCAGAGTCATCAAATCTACATAAATATTGATTGCATAACAAAACAAGACGAACTTTTAAATTCCATTCACAAGGTATGGTAAACAATGAGACAACTGGAAGTAAAAGAAAATGAAATACCGAAGGATTGGGAAATGACTGCGTTAAACTATAGGTTATGACTACAATGAAAACGTTTCTTCCTAGCCTAACAAAATGCTTCAAGGATACAAAAACTCACTATCATACTCAACTTAAGGATCTGAAAGTCATCATATTGATCTTATATGAGTTGATAGTTGATCCATTGTTGCAATGTTCTAAAACAGATTGGAACATACATAATCATTGGTCAGAAGGTTTTCAACTGTTCTGTAATGTAATGCTAATTCGATATGTAAATCAATTTGTAGCTGAACACAAACACTGATGAGTTGGAAAAGAAATAAATCAAACCATCAGAATCATAAGATCATAGATCACTTAGCTCGTAGAAAAAACCCCATTAAAATAATTCACGGGAACAATAAATCTGCTATATTAACTGGAAATAGTTCGGTATTTTCAAAGTTGAATTCACGAGTCAATCTATGTTAGACCATCATTAAAAATCTGGAAGCATTGGACGGTCGTTTTGTCCTACCATAGGACTCCTCAGCAGTGCGCATCCCGCACGCAGAATTCGAATTCAGAACCTCCAGTCTCTCACGAGAACGCTTAACCTTTAGACCACTGAGCCACCAATTAACGGTAATAATGTCTAACTTCAGTTCATCCATGATTTCGCACAACCTTTCATTCATTGTCTGTGATGGGTAACTGTCTCACACCCGACATGGATTGGACCTCACTGGTACTGGCTTTCTTTTTTAATTCGGTTTATGTGTAACTACGCCAGGAAATAAATAAAGATGAACTGGAAAATGTTATGATTGTGGCATAATAAAATTATTTAACTATTACTTAATATTAATTATGATATTGTTAGAATGGAAAGATTTTATGTGATGAACTAATGGGTGTTAATCAATAACTTTTATGGTATTGTAAATCACTCTTACTTACTTATTTACTCCTGCTACTCCCAATGGAGCATAGGCCGCCGAACAGCATTCTCAAACCCACTCTGTCCTGAGCCTTCCTTTACAGTTCTATACAATTCTTGTTCATTCTTCTCATGTTTGTCTCCGTTTCTCGAGGTAATGTGTTTTTGGGTCTTCTTCTTCTCCTTTGTCATTTAGGATTCTATGTGAGGGATTTCTTTGTGACACATTTCGATGCTTTCCTCAATATATGTCCTATCGACTTCCAGCAATTCTTCCTAATCTCTTCCTCCTCTGGGATCTGGTTTGTTCTTTCCAACAGTTGGTTGTTGCTAATAGTGTCTAGCCAACGGATCTGAAGTATTTTGCGTAGGAAACTGTTAATAAACATTTGTGCTTTCTGGATGATGGTTTGCGTAGTTCTTCAAGTTTTCACCTCATACAGTAGAAATACCTTTACATTTGTATTGAAAATTGTGACTTTGGTGTTGAGTGACAGACAATTGTTTTGAGTTCCAGATGTTCTTCAGTTGTAAATATGCTGCTCTTGCTTTGCCGATCTGCGCCTTCACGTCTGCATCAGACCCACTGTCTTCATCAATGATGGTGACCAAATATGTAAACGTTTTTACATCTTTCAAATCTTCTCCGTCAATTGTGATTGGATTGGTGCATGCTGTGTTGTATCGGAGAATCTTGCTTTTCTCTTTGTATATGTTGAAACCTACTGCTGCTGAGACTACTGTTACACTGGTGGTCTTCCCCTACATTTGTTGTTGTGTGTACGATAGAAGAACCAGATCATCTACGAAGTCTAGATCGTCCAGCTGGTTCCTAGCTGTCCACTGTATCCCATGCTTCCCTTCAGATGTTGACGTCTTCATGATTCAGTCGATCACCAGGTTAAAGAGGAGGGTTGAGAGTAAACAACCCTGCCTGACACCGGTCTTTGTCTCGAACGAGTTTGTCAATTGTCCTCCATGCACGATTTTACAATTTAATACATCATAGGATTTCGTATGATATAAATCTGACTTAAGTCAATTCATGATCTACTAATTTCCATACTTACAAGAAAATGACTAATTTCTAAAGTCTGATCGAAATTTATTATACACTATCGATTTATATGAATAATTGAACCTCCAAAGATCTTTGTAGTAGTATCCATCAGTATGGTTTACTGGAAACCTGAAATAATGACTCTGCAAAGTAGTTCTATATTATCAAACTCTTGAACAAAATTAAGGATGATGACTAGTTAACCTGTTCTTCGTACACCTTTTGGAAGTATTATAGCTGATTCTTACTTACTTATTTCCTTACACCCGTTACCCGTCATGACAGCATAAATTACAGATTGAGATTCTCGAACCTAATCTGTTCTCGGCTCCCCTTTCTTATAATATCCATGTGCCGTCCATTTGCTTCTAATTCCCAGTTCAATGATTTCTTTGATCTACCACTTTTTCTCTAACCTTTAAGAATTTAATTTGACTTATCTAATGATTCAATTTGATGATTTCTTCAATGTACGTTCTACCCACATTCAGAATGTCCTTCTAATTTCCTCTTCAACTGAATAGTTCTAGTTAATTCAACAGTTGAGATCAGGAGTCAGTTGAAGCTAGACATAGAAGCACTGGACGGCCGTTTCGTTCAATTGTGGAACTCCTCAACAGTGCGCATCCACGACCCCGCCTCGCGGGATTCGAACCCAGTTCTAGTTCTGTAGTTCACTATCATAGTAAGATGTAACTGATAGTATTCGACAAACAGATGATTCTTAACAGAATATAAAATCGATTATATGAGTGCTATAGAATTTCAGAGTTAAGAATTTCCGCTATACTAAATAAGTAATTAAATATGTTTGTTTTATTCGTTTACATTTCAGATGTAATTGCCCAGAAAATACACATTTTGACAAATCAACATTAGATTGTGTTTACACATTAAGTAAGTTGATCCTATCACAGTAATCACTTACTCAAATGATTTTATTTCAATAACCGACAACTTCCAGTCATAATTTACTTAAATCATCAGAAAGGAATTTTGGTGGAGATTGTAGTAGTAGAAGTAGTGAACAGTAGAATTCAACTGAGTCTGTTGTGAGATAATAAGTCACTGAAGACAATACTGGACGGTGGATTAGTTGAGGTTATACTTTAACACCGTTCGATACCAACTCATTGGTTTAGAGGTTGAACGTTCTCGAGCGAGTTCAGAAGTTCTGAGGTTGTGGATATACACAACTGAAGAGTTCCATACTAGGATGAAATGACCTTCCAGTGTTTCCAGGTTTTCCATGATGGTCTAACTTTAATTGACTCATGAATTCAATTCAAATCACTAGAACTCAATGATGGTTTAGACGTGTTTAGTTTCACTCTTGTGCAGATTTATATGTGAAGCTGTTTAAAGCATTCAGTTAATTTTCAACCGTATGTATAAAGCATAAAACAAATATTCAATGAATAAAGTGTCTTTACCAACTTACTGATGATACTGGGACGTTGTATTCACACATTCACTTATGTTTCTAATTCACTTTTCTTATTATCGATCTTTCTGTTTCCCTTTCTCTTCATATTAGAACTTAATTAACAAAGGCACTTATATGAGGGACAGAATATATGAAATAAAAACTAGCAATTCACTTGTTCAAAGGTTGGAATGAACCACATAGGCACGTAACAATAACAAATGCTACAATATAGATGACTATGCGGAATATGTAATCATTTCTACATACGTTCAAACAAATAGACACATGTTCTGAACATCAGTAGATCAGAATAGCAAACACTGCAATGTTATTGTGACTTTAAGGCTCAATCTGACATATTGTTCTAACATTCCAGCTGGATAGGATAACTGTCCGTTTATTCGGAGTGCATCTACTTCTCAATGTTCAACTTGTGTACAATATCTAACATTTTTCTGTTCATTTAATCACTGGAAACTCTATATATATACATAACTTTCACCAAGGATTTCATTTCCAGTGGTTGGAATGAAATTCCCAGTAAACATTACTCGCTTGTATGCATGACTGATACATGAGTTTGGTTACTGTCATAGCCTCCAGTTGAATTGATTTTCAAAGTTGAGAAGATATGCTAAGACTTATGATTCAATAAAATATTATCTAAATTATCAATCTACCATTTTTATTTCCTCTAACAATAAGGATCTGGGGTAAATAACTGAAATAGTGGAGATTTCTAGCTAAGTGATGAAGTTTTGTTCTCTGAGCTGGATGGTTTGGTCGTGAAGCTTTCATCGTTCTTCTGAACGATATCATCAGCACAAATTTCAGGTGGAAGTTTGTGCTGCTAAGGTCGTTCAGAAGAACGATGAAAACTCCACGACCAAATCATCCAGCTAAGAGAACAAAACTCCACCTAAATAGCTGAAAATTTATTCATCTTGAAAGCTACATTTCAAAGATATATGTTTTTCACTGATAGTATATTGTTGAATAGTATTTCTGCACCAGTTTATATATCCTATTGAATGGTATGTATTCATCTTGTTTTTTTCTAGTTAGCGTTTTTTAGCGAGTTAGTTTTTTACGGAATGGGGCCGCTAACCCCATGCCCAACCCTCCTCCTTTATCCAGGCTTGGGACCGGCAGTAGCTGCCGGAGGGACTCCAGGAGGAGTTATTCATCTTGTTAACACGAGTAATACTGTTTCCACAGTATAATAAGTAAATCTTCATCTTTTATTCATATCTTCCTGTTTATGAATGAATTTTGTTTTTATAATTCAATAATTAGAAATGCCATGTGAGTTAGATCCTCACAGATGTCATAATGGAGGAAAATGTATAGATCTACCAAGTGGTGATTACAAGTGTATATGTCCGTGGGGAACTAGAACTTCACAAGATAGAAAATCCTGTAAGTTACCTTTTTAAAAAATGTTATCACATAGTTCTCTAAAAGTATTGCTGAACATTCTTCAGACAATATTCCATTTTATTTTTTTTAAAGCCAATTTGTGATGAACTACAGAGAATTTAGCTGGAGAAATTTTCTTTTTCAAAATTACTATTTATTCAAACTTTTCCATCCTATTCAGTCATTTAACAAAAACTTTCTGGGATACAGATATCAGAAAAAGGTTTTGTAATGGTCAATATGCTTCTGGGAAGAGTCCTCAAATGCTGATTGTGGGGATAGTCAGGTTTCTCACTCGAACTGCTCTCACATGAACCCATGCATACAACAACTGTCAGGGAAGTCCTACTCACTAAATTCTCCCGGCATTACTGTTGTTTACGAAATTAAGAGGACGGAAACCGAATGTCCGATGTTTTAACTGGGTTGGTAGTTATGGAGGATCCACTTAGGGGAGATATAACTTAAATCAAGATAGTATCCTAATGTATTCAGTAGATTAATTTCATTTATCATGATCAATAGATAAATATTATCAGATGGGTTTTGTGGATATTATAGTAATTTCAATGGTTAAGATCATGAGTCAGTTGAAGCTAGACCACTGTGGAAAACCTGGAAGCACTGGACGGCCGTTTCGTCCTATTATGGTACTCCTCAGCAGTGCGCATCCACGACCTCGCCCCCTGTGAGATCCGAACTCAGGACCTACTGGTCTCACGCGCTTGCAATTAGCCACTAGACCACTGAGCCGACATCCAACGGTGTTAATGTCTAACTTCAGTGAGTTAGTATCTCATAACAGACCCGGTTGAACTCCACTGGTCACTAATTCTCACTAGAACTCCAGGAGATACCTCGTGAATTCAATCACTAGTGAGCATAAATATTACATAATCTTAAGAAACTCCAAAATGACTGATTGATTGACTGACTGACCTACTGTTTGACTGACTGACTGTTACTGTCCATATATACATCCATTTATTTCATTTGAACATGTTTATAAACATTATGAAATGTAACAAGAAAAGAAAAATATGATCCAGATCAATTTCCGATCAGATTAAAACAAACAATAATCAAGATAAAACTAAAAGGAATGACAGAAAAATGAAAAAAAGGGAAGGTAACAATAACAAATGGAGAAAAATAAAATTAAAAAAATTTTTTTGGTGTGATTGAAAATTTTTATGGGTAAAAAAACAGACTTTGTTATATAGAATAGATGGAATGAGGTTAGTAATGAAATCTAGGACAGATATTTGATTCTATTTGGTGTTTATGAATTAGATGTACTTGAATCTCAGATTTAAAGTTTACTGAAGGACTCGAACCTTGTACTACTGACTTAAAATTTTAACATGTTATATACTTAGATACTGAGTTCGGATAGCTATTTTTTGGGTAATAGGTATGACTTATTTACTTACTTAGTTACTTATACCTGTTACTCCATGTGGAGGAATATAGGCCGATCACTATCACTCTCTATCCAATCCTGTCCTGGGCAATCATTTCCAGCTCTTTCTACTTGTTATTCATCCTTTTCATATCTGATTCTATTTCTCGACGTAATGTACTCATCGGCCTTCCACATTCCACTTCCATTCAGGATCCCAAGTTAGGGCTTGCCCCGTCAGGCAGTTTGATGATTTGCGTAATGTATGTCCTATCCGTATCCATCGTCTTTTCCTAAACTCAGCAGGAGTTTCGCTCGTTCTCTCCCACAGAAGGCTGTTGCTGATGGTATTCGGCCAATGGATGTTGAGTATCTTGTGTAGACAACTATTTATAAATACTTATACCTTCTTGATGATGGTTGTAGTAATTCTTCAAGTTTCAGCTCTTTACAGTAGAACTATTTTGACGTTCATATTGAAGATTCTGACTTTGATATTAGTTAACAGTCGCATCTGATCCTCCTTGCTGATCGATGATGCTTCTCGAGTACGTGCAGGATTCCACATCTTCCAGGGTTTCGCCATCAAGTGTGATTGTGTTGGTGTTCTTTGTGTTGTATTTGAGGATCTTGCTTTTTCTTTTGTGTATGTTGAGGCCTACTGACGGGAAGGCTGCTGCTAAACTAATTGTTTTCATCTGCATTTGTTTGTGTGTATGCGATTAGAGGGCTTGGTCATCTGCGAAGTCCAAATCGTGTAATTGGTTCGGAGCTATCCATTGTATTCCATATTTTCCCCCAGAGGTCAGTAACACCTATGAATTTTAGTTTAATTTAATTTCATGCAAAGTTATGTTGTGATGACTATATCGAATTAACCTACGCAACCGAAACTGAACAATTTTCAGTTATAGTATCAACTACAGGATAATCCAATATGTTGATCAATTGTCTCAGACGTCTTACTTACTTACTTACTTACTTACGCCTGTTACTCTTCGTGAAGGAGCATAGGCCGCTCACCAGCATTCTCCATCCAACCCTGTCCTGGGCAATCCTTTCCACCTCCTTCCAGTTGTAATTCATCCTTTTCGTATCTGCTTCTATTATCCGACGTAATGTGTTCTTTGGCCTTCCTCTTTTCCGCTTCCCTTCAGGATTCCAAGTTAGGGCTTGCCTCGTGATGCAGTTTGATGATTTGCGTAATGTATATCCTAACCTATTCCATCGTCTTTTCCTAATTTCTTCTTCAGCTGGAAGTTGGTTTGTCCTTTCCCACAGAAGGCTGTTGCTGATGGTATTTGGCCAATGGATGTTGAGTATCTTGCGTAGACAGCTATTTATAAATACTTGTACTTTCTTGATTGTGGCTGTCGTAGTTCTCCAAGTTTCAGCTCCATACAGTAGAACTGCCTTGACGTTCATATTGAAGATTGTGACTTTGATATTGGTTGACAGACAGTTGTTTTGAGTTCTACATATTCTTCAATTGTAGGAATGAGACCCTTGCTTTGCCAATCCTCCCCTTTACGTCTGCATCTGAACCTCCTTGTTCATCGATGATGCTTCCTAGGTATGTGAAGGACTCTACATCTTCCAGAGTTTCGCCATTAAGTGTGATTGGATTGCTGTTCTCCATTTTGAATTTGAGAACCTTGGTTTTCCCCTTGTGTATGCTGAGGCCTACTGATGCAGAGACTGCTGCGACACTGGTTGTCTTTATCTACATTTGTTCGTGTTTGTGCGACAGGAGGGCTAGGTCACCTGCGAAGTCCAAATCGTCTAATTGGTTCTGAGTTGTCGATTGTATTCCGTGTTTTCCCTCAGATGTCGAGATCTTCATAATCCAGTCGACCATCAGAAGAAAGAGGAAGGGAGAGAGTAGACAACCTTGTCTGACTCCTGTCCTTACTTGGAATGGGTCTGTCAGCTGTCCTCCATGCACTACTTTGCACTGTAGTTCGTCGTATGAGTTCCGGATAATATTGACAATCTTCCCAGGAACTCCGTAGTGTCGAAGAAGTTTCCATAATGTCCTCCTATCTACACTGTCGAATGCCTTTTCATAATCAATGAAATTGATGTATAGTGATGAGTTCCACTCAACTGATTGTTCGACGATGATCCGTAGTGTTCCTTTATTTCCATAGCTATCATTTTTTGTTCTTGTTCAATTTTCTTCGATCTTCTTAACATTCTGCCATCAGACATTTCACTTTCGATTGCTGATACATACTACTTATATCTATCAACATCAGTGTCACACACAACATCTCGATACCTAAGAGAATTTGTCTCCCTCAAATAATCTGACTATAAATCATTGCTTACCACAATGATAGACAGTACAGCGGAGATTCTTGGGCTTTGACCAAAGTTCTTTAAGACTAATATGATTTACTTGAACTGATTACTGTAAAGTAACCAAAATGCTAATCGATTATTAACGTGCTAACTAACAAGAAACACAAACTCTAGTGTTCCTTCTCACTACATCTAGTTATCTATGACACCTTAGTGTAATATACAACAATATCAAGTGGTTTCATTCAGTATCCATATCGCAAACATGATTGGTGGGGAGTTTAATAGGCTTTAAAAACTAAATCATCACATAGGGTTAGCAAAATTCGGAATGGAATTAATTACAAACAATAATTTATTCAGCTTCTAACCTTATTTTGGGCTACTTAGTAATGTTTATGGATATTACTCAATTGAAGTTAGTCTGTACGAGTACTCGTTTGACGTGCATTTGGTACTGATTCGCATTGTTTGATAAGACTGACATACAATCATGAGCTTTACTACTGAATGACCACTTAATATCAATGTACCAGTCCTATAAGAAGCCAACTGTTATCCAAGTGGGGAAATGTTAAATTCTGAGACTATAAAACCGTCTAACAAGTTGTCATATTCATCAGAGAGCGACAGTTCTTTTACAATTGTAGATACACTTTACTAACATGTTCAAACTAGAACGAAACCTAGATTGAGTATGGTTTCTTATTTATTTATTTATTTAAGCACATAAATATTGATACAATGAGGCACCGAATACATATACGACGCACAGGTCACTTGATTTGTGTGTGAGCTGTGATACTACCTGGGTGTCCAAACCGAACCATATGCTTTTCTTAGGAGACCACACCCGAAGCCTTCGACCTAAAGGTCTGATTCACAAGGCAGTGGAGCAACGTCAAGAGAAGTAGCCCCATAGTAAACGGTGACCAATAATTGATTCATACGCCATTTATTCCTTCAGGATACTAGAGACCATGTGCACCATTGGTTTGGAATCAGGGTTTTCCAACTCCCCTTTCTAGATCTTCCATATCTACCAACCCGGTTAAAACATCGGACATTCGCTTTTCATAAACAGCAGTTCCGCCACGAGAATTCTGTAAGCAAGACTTCCCTGACAGTGGTTGTATACATGTGTTCATATGAGAGCGATTTCGAGTGAGAGAGCTGACTTTTCCCACTCTTGGCTGTACCAGGGCATTTGGCTGCATAGTTTCTTACAGACAACCTCCAATCAGTTCATATTTTAAAAACACCATTAGATAATCTAAAAGAAATTTGATAAAAC